CATTCTTTCCGTGCCCATGTCGGGCGTCCAGAGCTCCCCCTCTCCGCCCGCCTCCGCCTCTCCCTCCCCGCCCTCGCCCCCGCCCCCTGACCCGACCCCTCCTCCTCCTTTTTTGGACTTGGAGTCAGGATGATGTGCACGAAGCGCCACCCGCCAGGAAAAGGAACACGAGAAAGGACAAGGGCAGGAAAAGCGAATGAGAGCACGCGGAGCATGCGGTGAACCCGGGAGCCTGCCAGGGCAGGGACGGGGTCCCGGCACCCAAGTGGGGCAGGGCGGGCCGAGGCCTCGCACCATGTTGCCTCGGGCCCGCTAGGGCTCTGGGCCAGAGAGTTCGCGAGCAAAGTCATTACCCGTGGCTCGCGCGACGAAGGGAACGAGGGGCTCCCAGAAGGCCAAGAGGTCTGGCTCGACCTCCACCGAAGGGGCACCCGAGACCAGAGACCAACTCCCCTGGGAAGTCCAAAGGAAAACAGAGGCAGCAAGACGGCACATGCCCTGGGGGTGCGCCTTAGCCCTAGAGGTGCGCCACTGCCAATAGCCCTCAAAGCCCGCAAGGGTCACATGGCCTCGGGGGCCGTGGAAGCACCACCCGCCCCCCCGAGCAGCCCGTGCTCCCATGCCAAGAGACAGAAGTTGAACCGAAAGAGAGAGAGTAGGCTTCATCGACGGCGCCCCGAAAAGGCATAGGTCGGTGAGGACCCCCTCAACCTCGGGCAGTCCGAGGAGAACCTCCAGCACGTCGAATATCCACTCCGGAGGGGCCCCCCGAAGGGAGGGAAGAGCAGCGTGCTCCAACACAGCCGGGATTTCGAGGCGGAGGGCGACGAAGAGGAAGAAAACCGCCGAGCGGGGCAGGAAGTACCCCGCAACCTCGCCGCAGCTGGGGTCGCAAGCAACGTCAAGGCTGATCACCCACACAGAGACAGGAGAGGACTCGGCACCCCTCTCAAACTCGTGTGGGATGTCGAAATCGCGTCGGGCCCCAGCGAAAAAAAGTAGGAGGTGCATGGTAGGCTGGCCGACTGGCCTGGGAACCTGGCCCGCAAGGGCTCTGTCCTCAGCATCAACTCGAGCCATGGGGAAAAGTTTCCAATCACGTTTTTCCCTCGGGGCCCGGGCAGGAGGCCAAATCGAGACCCCAGGGGCCCGAAAGGCCGGTTTTTCGGCAAAGTGTTCAGGCCTCCCCGCTTTGCGGTTAGCTTTGCTGGCTGCGACTATGGCTTCCTTATCCTCAGCTAGCTGCTCGGGGGTCTTGGGGGGCATCATGGGCCGCCAGGCCTCTCTGCACCTATGACTCCGAACCGCAAGATTGTCCGAGATGACGCAGACTGGGGCGCTGCTCTGGTCTTGGAGACTCCGTAACAGTGCCCATATGGCTCCGTGCACTTCGATGCTAGTACTTGTCCTTGTGGAAGGATCCGAAGGAAACACTGTAAAATCTAAGCGATCGCCGATCTGATGCAAAACAGTAGAGGCCCATGCACCATTCTCGGGCGATTTGGGGTCGAGAGATCCATCTACATATGTCCAGGCCCTCTCGGGCTCGCGGGCATCGGCAGGGCCAGTGTTTGCTAAGGCGTACCTAGCATGCGGATGCAGAATAGTGTCGTTAAAGCTAACCGTAGGCCAATGCTTGAGCGCCATAGGATAGGAATCCAGGGCCCCTCTGACATCGAGCCAAGAGTCCAACAGGCAACCCCTCGAAGCAACAGGGTGCGGAGCGGCAGCGACGCGGTTCTTTCGGGCCTCGTCCAGCTGCGTGGCAACGATGGGGCCAGCCCCGAGTGGGTCGGGAAGGGGGGGGATCGGAAGGGTACATGCAATGGCAGTCTCCCCGTCATAATTCTGGGCCCTGTGGGGCTCCCTGTAAATCTGCGGAGGTGCCTGCTTCCCCCGCAGACGCCGCCTCAGGCCCTGTGGTTCCAGCGGCATCGCGCCAGAACCCAAATCAAAATACTCCTGGAAATTCATCTGAGCATGCGGTGGGGGGGCCCCCTGAGTGCCGCGGGTGCTTTTCCCCGCAGCCGCGCAATTACCGATCGAATTGGTATTGGCCTCCCCATCAGTGTTAGGGTCGGCATGAACAAAGAAGTCAGCCTCTGGCAGGCTGACGGTTGCATTGTTGGCTCCACCCTGGTCCCCTGGGTCCCACGGGGCGCCAAAACGATGCGGGGTAGAGGGCTCCAGTGGGCCAGCCAAGCGCGAGGGGGACTCTTCTTGTCCCTTGAATCCCTCGAAATTCGCGGCGGGTGGCTCACTCTGCTCATTCAGATGATGGGGTAGATGTTGATCTCCTTCTTCATCGTCGTGTGCCGGCTGGGCGCGCGTACAGAAGAAGGTGCCCCCCCACGAGACCGATGAGCGGAGGTTCAGATATCGTCCTTCATGGTGCCTGGTGCGCACGCCGACTTCCTTAGTGGCTGCCCCAGCGGGCCCCAGTCGTGCGCGTTCTGGCCGTGCGCTGGGTCGGCTGGCGATGTGGGGCTGAGACCCGCTGTCTGGTGGCGCTCGGGCGTTGTTGGTGCTGGAGGCACCTGTGCTGCAACCTGGGTCTCTGGTTGAGTCTGCGATGCTAGCTGAGTCGGAGCGGAGTGGAAACCTGGCGCGTAGACTTCCGGGAGGAATGGCGCCGTGGGTGAACGCCCCGCTGCTGTGGCAAAGGCTGGGCTGCGTAACAGCGTAGGCTCCGTCGGTGAAGGCATCTGGCTGGGAACCTCGACCTCCGTGGGAGATGGCACCGCTGGTGGCTCCCCTTGGGCTGCCTGCCCTGGTGGCGAGCTGGGATTCGGCACTGCTGTTGGCTCGGAGTGCTCGGTAGGCGAGCTGCGGTGCTGGGGGGCTCTGGGCGGAGAGGTTGGGCATGGTATTCTGGCTGCTTCCGCCTGCTCCTGGAGTTCGCGCTGCTTCTGGAAGAAAGCGCCCGTGGCGGCCTGCACCACTCTGTCCAACCCCTGCAGCTGTGAGCTTATGGTTGGTTGCGAGTCTGCTGGCGGGGTCGGTGCGACCTGCTGGGGCGGAGACGACTGCGCGGTGACCGCCGCCTGGCTCGGTCCCGTTCTCCTTGCTGCCTCCAATTGGGCATGCAGCTCCCTGATCGTCGCTGGGTCCTTGTAACCCCCCGTCTCTGGGGTCGGATGGCCCATCCCAGCGGCCTCTGCTGCCGCGATGGCGCGGGTCAGCTCGTGCTGGGCTTGGTGGGGGCCTGGCCCTCCAGGGAGTGGGGCTGGCGGGTGCGCTGGCCCCTGGGCTGGGGGCGGCGCTGCAAGGTTCGCGGTTGTAGGCGCTGCTCCCTTCTGGTCTACTGCCATGGGGGCTACCGCGCCCTCTGGGGTAAACCCCACTGCGCTGGCGTCCTTGCCTTTCCCTTTCGCCGCCATGTAAGCTTGGCCCATGGCCGACTTGGACCTCGCCCGCGTGCCCTGGTGCACTTGCTGGGTCTGCTGAGGCTGGCTGAAAACTTGCTGGGGAAGAAAATGCCCTGCGTGATAGTCTGCATCTGCTGGATCAGATGTGCTGGAGGCGGTGGCAGGACCGCGCCCGTGACGGGCGGGGGGACTCCAGGGACGCCCTGTATGCATGCCCCCGCGGCTGGCTGCACTAATCCCAGCAGCTGGCTGATTACGCTTTGCTGCATGGCGAGCTGTGCTTGTATCTGAGCCATTTGATTGCCAGGCGCTGCTGGTGGGGGTGGCGGTGGTGCCACATTGTGGGAAGCTGGGCCGTCCGCTGCCTGATGGTCCTGGGCCACGTCGTCGGGCTCTTCGTCATCGGAGTCTGGGGCATCCTCCAGTTCGGCTATGCAGACGTCGGTCTTGGCGATCTCCGTCTCGACCAGCTTTTCTTGCTGCTTGAACTCTTTGATGCTTTCCCGAATCCTGGCAAGTTTCTCCTTGTACGTAGTCTTCTTGTCCTTGAGGGCCTGGATCTGGTCCTTGCGCTTCTCGGTGAGTCCCATCAAGAACTTGAGTGCTGCAATTTCTATTAGTTCCTGGTCGCAGGGCTTGTTGGCCCGCCTGGCCGCACATATGAGGTTGGCAACATCGTATGTGCGGCTCTTGATCTCGTCTTTGTACTGGCGTTGCGCGGCTGGGTCTGTGGGAGGCTTGCCGTAAACCTCGTAGACCTTGTGCGCTTCTGCCTCGCTCTTCGGGAGAGAGGTAGCGTCTTGGCAATGAGCTTCTTCGCCAGGGGTTCGGGCTGGGTAGCCCACCTCGGGGTGGAAGCACTTGCTGCTTGCTGCTGTGGCGGTCGCCCCCGCGATGCAGGGCGTCGTCTCCTTTGGTTGTAGTGGCCATTGCAGCTTCGGCACGTCCAGTGCCGCTCTGATACATGTCGCCCACACGCACACTGCCAGGTACCAGCCATGTCTTCTGCACAGTCGGACCGGCGCCGTGGTTGTTGGGCGCTGTGGTGACGTTGGAGCAGCTCACGAGCGCTGACCGCCCTCACGAGCAGTCGCGCTTGTCCGCGGGCTCTCCTTTCACGTCGGTGCCAGGCGGGCTCTCTTGACCGAAAACGCCGCCAGTGCCGCCTCTCGATTGGCGGCGTGACCGCGGCGACGCCGCAGTGGCCGCGGCTGGGCCGCGGGTGCGCTGCGCCGCCTGCAGGCAGCGCTGCCGCGGGGGTCCGCGGGCTATGGCGCGCGCGGGCCGAGGGCCACGCGTGAGGCCACGGCGGGAAGGGCTGCCCCCCAATCCCCAGGGGCGGCCCTTGAGCCTCCTCCTCCTCCTCCTCCTCCTCCTCCTCCTCCGCCTCTCCCTCCCCGCCTCGCCCCCGCCCCCGGACCCGACCCCTCCTCCCCACTCCCCCGCCCGACTCCCTCCCTCGCCCGCGCCCCGCACCCCGCTTATCCCCTCCAGCGGCCAGCTGCTCCCCCCGAGCCCAGGGGGGGAGGAGGAGGAGAACAGGAGGAGGAGGAGGAGGAGGAGGAGGAGGAGGAGGAGGAGGAGGAGGAGGAGGAGGAGGACCTCTCCGCCTCCCCCTCCCCTCTGCCTCGCCTCGGCCAGCGCAGGGCCCACCGCGCACAGCAGCCCCGCGGCCACCCCCGCCAGGCCCGGCAGCGCGCGTGCCGCCACCGCCGCGGCCGCGTGCGGGCGGCCCCGGCCGGCGCGGTCTTCGGAAGCCTCCGCGGGGGAGGGCCGAGCGCCGGGGCGGCACTCCCGCAGAGCGCGGCAGGGGATTCTCGGGAGCGGCCAAGAGGGGGGTGTCCAAGGGGGGGAGTGCCAATCATGACCGGCGGCATGTGCGCGGCCCAGCGGGGGGGCCTGGGACGTAATGAAATAAGAAGAGGCGCCACGAAGTCTGCGGAAATATCATGGCCCACGCCATGAAATCCACCCCCCCCTAGTCATCACCCCCCTCTTTTCCGCTCCCGAGATTCCCGAAAGGGGAGAGGAGAGGGTCTCCTGGGCATGGGGGGGGTCTCCTGGGGATCCCAGGGCGAGCGTGGGACCTGGGGGGGGCGGGGTACGGGAGGCGAGTTCCAGGGAGCTGGGGCCGAGGGAGCATGCTGCGTGCTGCTTGCATCCTGTCCATTGGATGTTGCGTGCGCACGGTGTGCAGACGATGTGGCTCAGATATCAGATTCGAGATGCTTGTGGCGCTGCAGAGATTCCAGGAAAAAACAGCGTGCATGAAAACGCCATTGAATCCGACCCCGACGCCTGGGGTACTCTCCTGCATACGTGTCTGGATTGCACTCTGCACTTGCACTATTGGTCTGATCTGCACGTCGCGCTCTGGCTAAATAATTTCCTCTACGAGGATTGTGGCCTCCGAGGGGGGTGCACTCGACTAATTACCCCGCCCCAAGAGGCCCCCAAAAGCCCCCCAAGAGGCCCAAGGGGGCCCCAAGACGCCGCCAAGGAGCCCCAACAGACCCCCAAGAGGCCCCCAAGAGGCCCCTAGGAGGCCCCAAAGAGGCCCCCAAGAGGCTTCAAAGAGGCCCCATAGAGCGCTCGAGGGCCGGCGGAATGAGCGAAGCGATTAAATAATTTCCTCTTCGCCTTCACCAAAGACAACGGTGATGTAAAAAACGATTGGTCGATCCCTGCAGCCGGTCCTTCTGTGATCTCACGTGTGCACGCCATGGGGCCGAACTGCTGGGATACAGTCGGGGCGTTGACCTAAGGAACCCTAAATAAGGAACGATCCCCCTGTTTTCCAAAGAAAAGCATTATCCCGGCAAAGCAACCTAACAGCGATGTGTAGAAGCATATCTGAAAGCATTCCCCTTAAGATTCAGATGAAAATCCAGTTGTCGAATTCTGCTGTTCTCGCAGTCGTAGTCGCATTCGCGATGACAGTCGCAGCGGCAACGGCAGTCGCAGTCACAGCCTCAGCCTCAGCCTGCCTCCTCCTCCTCCTCCTCTTTCTCCTGCTCCTCCTCCTCCTCCTCCTCCTCCTCCTCTCCTCCTGCTCGTCCTCGTTCTCGTCCTCCTCGTCTTGCTCGTCCTCCTCCTCCTGGTGCTCTCTCCTCCTCCTCCTCCTCCTCCTCCTCCTCCTCCTCCTCCTCCTCCTCCTGGTGGTCCTCGTTCTCCTCCTCCTGGTGCTCTCCCCCCCCCTCCTCCTCCTCGTCCTCCTCCTCCTCCTCCTCGTCCTCCTCCTCCTCTTCCTCCTCCTCCTCCTCCTCCTCCTCCTCCTGGTAGTCCTCCCCCTCCCCTCCTCCTCCTCCTCCTCCTCCTCCTGGTCGTCCTCGTTCTCGTCCTCCTCGTCTTGCTCGTCCTCCTCCTCCTGGTGTTCTCTCCTCCTCCTCCTCCTCCTCCTCCTCCTCCTCCTCCTCCTCCTGGTGGTCCTCGTTCTCCTCCTCCTGGTACTCTCCCCCCCCCTCCTCCTCCTCCTCCTCGTCCTCGTCCTCCTCCTCCTCCTCCTCCTCTTCCTCCTCCTCCTCCTCCTCCTCCTCCTCCTCCTGGTACTCCTCCCCCTCCCCTCCTCCTCCTCCTCCTCTTCCTGGTCGTCCTCCTCCTCCTGGTCGTCCTCCTCCTCCTGCTCGTCCTCCTCCTCCTCCTGCTCGTCCTTCTTCTCCTGCTCCTCCTGCTCCTCGTCCTGCTCCTGCTCGTCCTCGTCCTCCTGGTCTTGCTCGTCCTCCTCCTCGTCGTGCTCTTGCCCCTGCTGAAAATGTGGCCCAGGAATGGGAGTTCTGGGAAGTCGAAGAGCACGAAGTTGCCTACAGTTGGCTACGGGCATTCAAAATGTGGCCCGGGAATGGAGTTCTGGGAACTCGAAGAGCACGAAGTGGCCTACAGTTGGCTCCGGGCATTCAAAATGTGGCCCGGGAATGGAGTTCTGGGAACTCGAAGAGCACGAAGTGGCCTACAGTTGGCTCCGGGCATCAAAATGTGGCCCGGGAATGGAGTTCTGGGAACTCGAAGAGCACGAAGTGGCCTACAGTTGGCTCCGGGCATCCAAAATGTGGCCCGGGAATGGAGTTCTGGGAAGTCGAAGAGCACGAAGTGTGTGACTGTTGCATCCGGCCCTCCAGAATGTGGCCCGGGAATGGAGTTCTGGGAACTCGAAGAGCACGAAGTGTGTGACTGTTGCATCCGGCCCTCCAGAATGTGGCCCGGGAATGGCGTTCTGGGATCTCGAAGAGCACGAAGTGTGTGACTGTTGCATCCGGTTATTCAGAATGAGCCTGGAAATGGAGTTCTGGGAAGTCGAAGAGCACGAAGTGTGTGACTGTTGGTGAAAAACGAGTTCGGCACAGGCCCGCCCGGCAACTCCCAACACCTGCCCGGACCCCCCTGTGGAGTGATCTGTGACCTCTTTTGACACTACTAGAAACCTATCAGTCTTCGATGTTAGGTAATAAGGAACGATACATAATAAACAAAAACGCATAAGGGAGGATACGTAACGCATGCAAGCCTTAAGGAACGGCCGAGCCCCTTTTGAAAAGTAAGTGTTCCTTACTCAAGCCGCCCACTGTAGTGGCCGCAGACATCTTGCTGTACGTGAGGTCTGGGTTCCAATTGCAGCACATCAAGCGCTCGTGGGCCAGCGTGATGGGCACGCTCCAGTGCACTTTGCGTGAGATCGTTCGGCGCGTCTTCGCACTGGCACGGCACACGAACTCTCCCTTACAGATTCATCAACACGACTTGACGGACTCGCTGCATGAACCGCAAGCGCTTGCCAATGAAGCTACGGCAACGTCTCGCTTGCACGACGGCGCTTTGATGGGAGTCTATACGTTTCTAGCTGCAAGGGCACACCGCCTTGTAACGCCCAGGCGTGCCCCCGAACGACCGCTTGTAGAATCACTGGCTCACAGATTCGAATGGAATACCGAAAGCCCGCATTCCAGCCAAGCGTCGCGGTTGTTCGCGTTTACTATGTGTTCGGAGCTGGTGGAGGCCACCAGCCACTGATGCAAACCTGTCCAAGGTGACGTATTTTCCCGGCTAATCGTCCCCCCCTTCACTTGGGCAGGATGCTTTTACTCTGTCGCCCGCGCCCGCGACGCAAGTGCAGAACATAATGTCAGGTATAGTTGGTTCGCACCTCTCTTTATTGCGGGTCTGCGCTGCATGCACTATTCTATGATGCTGCCAGTGCCGGCTCGAGTAGCAGCAGTAGCGAGACGCGCTCAAAGATGAAGACTCGGGCGTCCTTCGGCCGAATCGGGATCTCTCTCTCCATCTTTCCTCGGAGAGGCGCGCTGGCATCAGTGAGTTTCTCTTCATGCCCCGAGCTATTTTCATAAGAATTCGGATTTGCATAACCTCGGCGAGGTGGCGGGTCTTGGGGGAGAAGCCAGGGAGGCAACGGGGGATAGGGGTGATGAGAGAGAAAGAGAGAGAGAGAGAGAGAGAGAGAAGGGCAGATCGGGACGGAGGAGGAGGCGAGGAAGTGGATGGGGGACGGGAGGAGAGAGGGAGGGGAGGGGGGAGGGAGGGGGGGGGGTGGAAGGAGGGAGGGAGGGGGGGGGGCAAGAGGAGAGAGAGAGGGAGGGGAGGTGGGAAAGGAAGGGGGGACGAGAGGATGGAGAGGAGGGGGCGGGGAGAGGCAAAAGAGGGGACGGAGGAGGGAGATGGGTGGGAGGGGAAGGGAGCAGAAAGAGGGGGAGGCGAGGGAGAAAGGGGGGGGGGGACAGAGGTGCGGAGGCGTTGGCCAGCCCCCATGCGGCCTCCAGGCGCTCGGCAGACCTGCTCGCCAGCGCTCGCGCGGGCGGTCGTCGCGCCGGCGGCTGCCTGCGAAACGCTCGGGGCTGGGCCTTCTCGTCTCCTTGCCCTCTGCCCGCCCTCTCTCCCCACCTCCCTCCTCCTACTCCTCCTTCCCTTTCCTCCCTAAGCACTACATCAGTATCCCCTCCTCTTCCTTCTCTCTCGCTCTCTCTCGATTTTGTCCCAACCATCCTGTGGTGTTGGGTCCTCGTTTTGAAGAGACGTCGCCCCGTGTTCCTTCCTCCTCCTTCCTCCTCCTCCCCTTCCTCCCCCCTCCCATCATCATCATCATCATCATCATCATCATCATCATCATCATGACCATCATCATCATCAGCATCATCATTATCATCATCATCGCCATCGTCATCACCATGATCATCATCGACATCATCGACGTCATCATCACCACCATCATCATCGTCATCGTCATCATCCAATTCGGCACACCCCTCACACGTTTCGTGGCCCCATAGGGAGCTCCACCGAAGGCCCCTGTGGCTGCGTTCGCATGCGCCCACCGCACCCATGTCGGCGCACCCCTCACACGTTTCGTGGCCCCACAGGGAGCTCCACCGAAGGCCCCAGTGGCTGCGTTCACATGCGCCCACCGCACCCATTTCGGCACACCCCTCACACGTTTCGTGGCCCCATAGGGAGCTCCACCGAAGGCCCCCGTGGCTGCGTTCGCATGCGCCCACCGCACCCATTTCGGCACACCCCTCACACGTTTCGTGGCCCCACAGGGAGCTCCACCGAAGGCCCCAGTGGCTGCGTTCACATGCGCCCACCGCACCCATTTCGGCACACCCCTCACACGTTTCGTGGCCCCATAGGGAGCCTCACCCAAGGCCCCCGTGGCTGCGTTCGCATGCGCCCACCGCACCCAGTTCGGCACACCCCTCACACGTTTCGTGGCCCCATAGGGAGCTCTACCAAGGCCCCAGTGGCTGCGTTCGCATGCGCCCACCGCACCCATTTCGGCACACGTTCACACGCTTCGTGGCCCCATAAGGAGTTCCACCGAAGGCCCCAATGGCTGCGTTCGCACACGTGGGGGCTCGTTGGGGCGTTCGCCTTGCGCATGCGCTATCGGACGGTCGCACGTAGGTCGGTGGCTCAGAAGGACAAGACCATCCTGGTGCGTGGGCATCGTGATCCACCTGGGAGACCTCCTGCAGCTGAAGCCGACGGGGGGCAAGGTGTCGCTCATCTCCAGCTTCGAGGAACTGGCGGCGGCGGGCACCAACCGCGCTCCAGAGTACCAGGCCGTGATGAAGCTCTTCTGCAACACGCCGCTGTGCTTCGAGCTCCAGGCGTCGAACTGCTTCAAGGACACCAAGCTTCGAGATCTCATGGCGTTCCTGCGCAAACCGGGGAAGCAGGTCCCCGCGGCCATCCGGGCCACATGGAACGCCATGCAGCTGAAACCCGATGATCGCCGGCTCCGGGAGGAGAGGTTCCAGAACGGCCACATGATCGGGTCCTACTGGGACACCGTGGCGCGGTGGATGAACACGCGAGCTCAGCGGGATGCGGACGTCCTGAAGAAGCCCCTCTTCCTCGCGCAGGCCGCCGACAACTCTGCGCCGACGATGAGCGTCAAGAACGCCGCCAAGATGATGAACTGTGCCAGCCCGAAGAACACCGGTGGCATGCACGGGCTGCTCCTGGCGCACGTGGGCATGCGGATCCGGCTCCTGGAAGCGCTCGACCTCAAGAACGGCCTCGTCAAGGATGCCGAGGGGCAGATCGCGCACATCGTCGTGGACCCTCGAGATCGAGACGACGTCGAGAGAGCCGAGAGAGAGGGGGAGAAGAGGATTTACCTGAAGCGCTTGCCGCTGGGGTTCTGGGCGCGCATGGAGAAGTGCGCGAGCGCGCCCTTCGTGGACGACCTGAAGCGCCACGACGACAGCCTCACGGGGAACCTCGCGGGCCCGCTGGTGTTCATCGAGCCCCGCACGTCGGAGCCGTTCACCTTCCGCGCCTCCAAGGTCACGCGGACGGGCCCCCCGTTCTCGCGCGGCAGGGTCATCGCCACGGTAGCGTGCCAGGGGCGCACCATGCGAGAAGGCGACGGGGCGGGGGAATGGAGCTCCGGGGGCGGCCAGACCTCCGAGGCGCGAGCAGTCCGCGGCCAGACCTCGGTCCTGTGGACTCTCGCCCTGGGCCGTCGGCTGCCCAGCGCACTGCCCCCTCGGCCGACGTCGCCCAGGCGTGATCCTGGACTGCGGCCGCCAAGAGGTCGGGAACGGCAAGAAGGAGGGCGACGACTGGTGGCTGGAGCTCTATGCGCTGCTCTCGCGCGCCACGCGCCACGAGGACCTCCTGCTCATGCGGGCGCCGCGCATCGAGTTCTTCCTGGCAGGACCGCCGGAGGGCTTGCGGAAGCAGCTGGAGCAGTTTGCGGCGCGCACGAAGCGGTGCAGGGGGGAGGCGACGGCCCTCGCCAGGGAGCTCGGCTTCGCCGAGTTTATCCGCGAGGCCTGACCTGTGGAGCGTCCCCCCCGAGCCGCGCCTTCTCTCGACTGCTCGACTACCTGTTTGGCCCCGCGCCGCGGACGACCCGCGCGCGTCGCTGGGGCCCTCTCAGGGCGACCAGCGCGCTGCGTTTTGCCCGGCGCCTCGTTCGCCCGTCGTCGTTCTGCCCAGCGGCCGGAGCCTTGCCTGCAATCAGCCAGCCGGCTCTCTTTGCTCCGCGCAGCGGACGACCCGCGCGCGTCGCTGGGTCTCCTCCGCGGCGACCTGCGCGCGTCGCGGGGACTCCGCGCTGCGCTGCGCCCGCAGCCTTGGACTTTGGAGTGCGCGGGCAAAGAGGGAGGAAAAGGAGAGAAGGAAACGGGCGCTATCCTCGTGAGGGGCGTGCCGACATGGGCGTCGCGGCGTGCGGACGCCGCCGTCGGCCATTCTGGGGGGGCTCCTTGCGGCGGCCACATTCAGTGTCACAACTACTCAGAGCCAGTCATACTCAAACCGTTCACATTCAGATACGATTTCACTGGGCCGACTCATGTTCCCATTCATGTACATAGACTCGCTCGCACGCAAACTCCTTCACAAACAGACGCACTCGCGCTCAGACTCACCCGCGCTCAGTCTCTCGTACTCAGAACTATAATATTTGTTCGCGTTGTGTACCCCCGCCACACGTTTCGGCGCACCCTTCATGCGGTTCGTGGCCCCATAGGGGGCGCCACCGAGGAATATATCCACAGTTGCGGTATTCGCAACTGCGCATGGTTGGGTCCTTGATCCGCGCCTTCCCTCGGCTGTCTAACTGTTTGGCCTCGCGCCGCGGACGCCTGTCGCTGGGGCCCTCTCGGGGCGATCAGCGCGCGTCGCCCGAACTCCGCGCTGCGCTCTGCCCAGCGCCTCGCTCGCCCCTCGTCGCTCCGCCCAGCGGCCAGAGCCATGCGCGCCATGAGTCAGCCAGCAATCACTCCCTGCTCCGCTCAGCGGACGAACCGCGCGCGCCACTGCGACCCCTTCGGGGCGACCTGCGCGAGTCGCGAGGGCTCCGCCTGGCGCTGCGCCCGCAGCCTTGGACTTTGGAGCGCGCGGGCAAAGAAAATGGAAAAAGGAGGGGGGGAAGCGGGCGCGATCCTCGCGTGGGGCGTGCCGACATGGGCGTCGCGGCGCGCGGGCGCTGCCGTCGGGTTTCCCAAGGAAGCCCCCCTGCAGAGGCCACGCCACGCAATTCGGCACACCCTCATACGGCTCGTGGCCCCAGAGGGAGCGCCACCGAAGAATATATTCACAATTGCGGTACTCACAACTGCATATGGTTGGGTCCTTCGCCAAGCTATTTTTTTCCCCAACCATCCTGTGGTGTCGGGTCCTCGTTTTAAAGAGACGTCGCCCCGCGTTCCTCCCTCCTTCCTCCTCCTCCCCTTTCCCAACCATCCTGCGGTGTTGGGTCCTCGTTTTGAAGAGACGGTGCCCCGCGTTCCCGCCTCCTTCCTCCCTCCCTCCTCCCCCTCCCACACCCATTCTGGCACGCCCCTCGCGCGTTTCGTGGCCCCATAGGGAGCTCCACCGAAGGCCCCAGTGGCTGCGCCCGCATGCGGTTCCACCCCCCTCACACGTTTCGTGGCCCCATAGGGAGCTCCACCGAAGGCCCCAGTGGCTGCGCCCGCATGCGGTTCCACCCCCCCATTCTGGCACACCCCTCACACGCTTCGCGGCCCCATAGGGAGCTCCACCGAAGGCCCCAGCGGCTGCGCCCGCATGCGGTTCCACCCTCCATTCTGGCACACCCCTCACACGCTTCATGGCACCATGGGGAGCTCCACCGAAGGCCCCAGTGGCTGCGCCCGCATGCGGTTCCACCCCCCATTCTGGCACACCCCTCACACGTTTCGTGGCCCCATAGGGAGCTCCACCGAAGGCCCCAGTGGCTCGAAGCACGATGTGAGAATCGTAGGGGACTCGCTCTGGAGAGACGACTTCTGCGCAGTGGTGCGGTCGCCGAACACCGCGCATGGCAGGCCCCGCTGCCAGTGTGACGTATTATACATGTTGTTCCTTGACAACAAAAGACCCTGGAGGGTCAAACGGCAACGAATGGCGCACGCACGTGTCATGCACACACGCACACACATTCACACACACGCACACACATATACTATATCACAATTTGGACCCCCCAAGCCCCCTCGCTTCTCCCTCTCCCCGCCGTGTCCCTTCGCGTCCTGCGTCGCTGCTTTTCCGCCCTGTCGTGTCCTGTCTGCTGTCGGTCCCCGCCCCCCCCCCTTCCTCCCGCGCCCCATTGGCCCCGCGGGGCTTCTCCCTCCGCCCCGTTCCCTTCCCCGCTCGCCCCGCCGGGCTTTCTCCATTGGCTCCTCTGCCTGCTGTCTTTTCTCCCCCTGCCCCGCGGCGTCGGGGACGAGTCGGGCTCGGGCTCTGGGGCGATGAGCGGCGGGGAAGGCAGGGCGGGGGAGCGCGCGCGCGCCGCCCCGCCGCCCCCACCGCCACCCGCCCCCGCCCACGTGCTCTCGAAGTGCGAGGCTGCAGCGTTCTTCGGCCCTCTCCCCCCTCCGCCCGTCGCCCTCGAGTGTGGCCGTGTCGTCGTTCTCTGCCCGTTGCCGGGGATGGCCCCCTGGCCCCCAGAGGGGGCCGCCCAATCCGACTGCGAGCAGCAGCACTCGGGGAGGGCCTCGCCCCCGCCCCACCCGCCGTTTTGTCGTGGTCACTTTAGGTCCTGGGCGGCCACCTCGGGCGGGCCTGTGCGAGGGCAGGGCCCGCGTCCATTTTCTCGCAGGGGCACGCGATGCAGTCGGGGCCTTTTTTTGTCGACACATCCATGAAGGAACAGAAATTCACAGAGAAAATCATGCAGGCAGGAACCCCGAAAGCGCAGCGCAGCCGCGCAGGGCCCCCAGCAGCCTATGCCACTCGCATACCACAGCGCTACCGCCGCAGCTCATCAAGGGGGATAGCTGTCCGAGCCAAGGACGCGCAGCACACGAGAGAAACACCTGTGAACGCGCCCCTGAGAGGAGAAAAGGGGGCCAGGCCGCTCTACAACGCAGCCTGGCCCGAAAGGCGCCCTCAGTCCCACTCCTCTGGGAAGCGGGCTTTCTCATCCTTTGCCCTGGCTACGAGTTGCTCCCAGATCCACTCGAGGCCCGCGCGCTGGTGCTCTGCGTTGGGCACCTCCAGCGGCTCCGTGCCTGGGTCCTACTCCCAGCCAGGCCTGCGAAGGCTGCGCTCCACGTCGAGCAGCTCCCGCTGCTTTTTAACCTCCCTCTTCTCCTTGTTGCTGAGCGTGCGAAGGCCGGCGGCAGGGGCAGCCTGCTGAGCCACCAGTTCTTCGCCCTCGGTGCTGATCCCCTCGTCGAGCACATCCAAGGCGAAGGTCTTCACCGCCTCCGCGGGGGCGACCTCCTCCAAGGTGGTGGTGTGTCCGCAGTAAAGGGCACATGCTCCAGCTCCCGCTCCTCCTTCTCTTGGCCCGCACACGGCGCCAACGCCGCTTCTTGAGGGTCCCCTGCGAAGGCGCCGAACCCAACGCCGGGGCGACACCCTCCGAGGCGAGGGACTTACTTTCTTCTGCTGCAGCTCCTTCACCGCCTGGGCCAGCGCCTCCTGCTGCGAGGAGATGCGGTCCAACTGCAGGTGAAGCAATATATGGTTCTTCCTTTCCGCCTGCTCCCGTGCTGGAGCGCTCACGCTGGACGCAGGCGGTTCCTTGGCCAGGGCTGGCGTCTCCCGAACCCGCCAGGGCTCCTGGTGAGCCACCCGCGGCTCCCGCGCCAGCACCTTCTGACACCCTGGTGCTGGCGGCGGGGTGGGTGGCTTCACCTGGGGCTCCTCCGAGCGCGCCTGCGTCAGCAGCTTCTTGTACTCCCGAAGTGCTGGCGACGGCGGCTGGCGGGGCCACCGAACCCTTGAGTACAGATCCGAAGCCGAAGAGCTTGAGGACCTGCTCCTTGACCGTAGCCTCAACTCCCTGCTTGACGAGCGCCGAACACGACTCTTCGTCACGCAGGGTCTTGGCGATCGCAAGCTCGACGATGTCGGCATCGCGGAGCACGAGCACCTGCACCTGCTGGCCTGTGAACGCCTCGGCCACCGAACCGAGGCACTCGGGGGAGCAGGCAATCTGCATCAACCGACTGGCCCCCGCGCGCGAAGCCGCTCTGAACCGACGCGCGCGGAAGACTCAAGCAAAACTTGAGCCCAGAACGGCTTGAGCCAAAATGGCTACGGAACAGTCGGGGCCTTGACCTAAGGAACCCCCAATAAGGAACGAGGCCCCCTTTTTCCATAAGTTAACCTTCGATTTCCTGTCGAAAACATAAGGAAAACCTGAGGCAAGCTGCAAAAAACTTAAGGAACACCGAGCCCCTCCCCAACGAAAAGGGTTCCTTCCTCAGGGCCCTGGCTGTATGTAGTCGCACGGTTGCCGTATCGCGGCCGCCGCTCGGACTCGTTTCCAACGCACTTAAACTTTACCTCTTCCTCATCCTCCCCGTCCCCTCTCCCAGTCCCCCTCTCTACCTGCTGCGGCTGCTCCAGATGCTCGTGCTGCTCCTCTTGTTGTTCGCCCAAATCCTTGCTGCATTCGACAAACATGAGCAACATAACTGTTGCATTTCTGGGATGCAGGAGAACATGCGAAATGACATGTACCGACTTCTGTCATAGGACAGCAAGTTGTTGCAAGGACCTCAGCGCGCAGCGGTAATAAGAACATGCAGCAAGGCGGCGGGAAGTAAAGCAACCCGAACGGGCGTAAAATGTACGCGCCAAGGTCCATGAGGGGGGTGATGGAGGTGATGACGACCGGAAGATGAAATCAAGGCACCTCAGACAGAAAATGGAGGAAGAGGTAGGACGTGAACGAAATACTTGCGGTAAAGGCTGCGTCGTCTGACTCCTTCTCCTCCTCCTTCTCCTGCTGCTGCTCCTCCTCCTCCTCCTCGTATTCGACCTCCCACGGACGGGAACTCGCGGGAGCAGAACGCACCAAAAGAGACCCCTTGCTCGTCGCCCTCTTTTCTCATCCGCCCAAACCCCTCCCCCTCCCCCCTCCCCTCATACAGTCGGGGCGTTGACCTAAGGAACCCTAAATAAGGAACGAGGCCCCTTTGTTTCATGAGTTCAACTTCGATGTCCGATCGAAAACATGAGGAAAACCTGAGGCAAGCTGCGAAACACTTAAGGAACGCGGAGCCCCTCCCCAACCAAAGGGGTTCCTTCTTCAGGGCCCCGACTGTATCTCAATCAATCAATCAATCAATCAATCAATCAATCAATCAATCAATAACGCCGTGTCTGCACGACACATCGGCTGAAGAAGTGCCGCCGGCTGGAGGCGCATGTCCAGACCAGGGCACAGAAATCAGGTACAGCTCAAGAAAAGGTGTACCGGCTGGCGATCGTCCTCTCCCTCCCCCTCGCCTCATATCTCACTCCCCCATCTCACCCTCCCCCCTCCTCCTCCTCCTCCTCCTCCTCCTCCTCCTCCTCCTCCTCCTCCTCCTCCTCCTCCTCCTCCTCCTTCCCCTCCTCCCCCTCCTCCTTCCCCTCCCCCCTTCGCCTCTTCCCCCGCCGCGCGCGGGCACGCCGCGCTCGAGGGCCTCAGCGCCCAGGCCGCGGGGCCCCCGCCGGCCGCCAGCAGCAGCGCCGCGGACAGCAGCGCGGCCCGGGCGGCGCGCCTGGCACAGCGAGGGGCGGGGTGGCAGCCCATGCCCGCGGGCCCGGTCTTCCTGCTCTGTCTCCCCCCCCCCCCCCTCTGTCTCGTGCCTGCCCTGGTCCCCCCCCCCTCTCTCCCTCCTCGCCGCCCCGCCTTCCCGAGGCTCCTCCTCCTTCTCCTCCCTCTCGTC